GGGGGGGGGGGGGGGGGGGGGGGGGGGGGGGGGGGGGGGGGGGGCAATAGTAGGTGTTCGTGCTTTGTGCTTGGACTGCTGTGAATAGGAACAGCGAAAGCAGTGAATGGAAGCTCGTATGCTTCCCGGCAGCTGGGGCTGCACTGCTATTACTACCATAGTTGGTCGTATGCATACAACGCAGACAGCAGTACCACAACGGCATATATCCAAAAACTATACCTGGTACTTCGAAGTATTTAACATCCATGTGCTATTATTGAATCGTACGCGCTGAAGTGTCGAGGTGCTCCTGCGGGGGGTACTGGTATTTTAGGAAAGTAACGCGTTGTTGGGATAAAATAAAAGACACACACACACGACGGCAGCCAGGCGCTTGGGACACTCTGGAGGACCTCAATCTCCCTTCCGACACACTACGCAAGGCAAGTCTCACCTTCAGAATCGCGCGGTCGTCCCACACGTCTTCCTACAAAACCGGAGCAATTTTGAAAACGATGCGGAGCGTTGACAGGCGTTGAGGTCGTCAGGTCAAGAAGAGAGGACGGCGCCGTCGATTGCGAAAGACAATAAGGGAAGGAATGGGTCAAAGGCAGTAGCGCTCCTCTCACGCTATGCACTCATGCATACAACCAACCATCCATCTATGGCCTCGAGTTGGGCATTGCTTGTGGTGCCTTGCGCGCTGGACGCTGCCATGCTGCCATGGTAGCATGCTTGCGACCTGCGACCCACCCTTCCTTCTGACAGCTAGTTGTTCGATCAACGACGTCTCTGCCACTGGACCGAACTCACCTCCACATTGCCGGTGCCAACGTTTGGCTGCATGAACGTCAATCCTCCAGTGTCCCAGCGCTCCCTCGTTGTCCCTGCAACTGTCATTGCATGGTATGGACAGCTGTGGAGAACTATCTACTGCTGTTGCAGAGCGGCACTGGTGCTGGTGGTCGGCAGTCGGCAGCGGACAGTAGGGGCTCTCCGACTGAACACTTCGGTACCTACCTATTCAAACATGAACAGCAAGGTGCGGAGCCGCTCAGACAAGTGGGCTGAAGTGGGGTCACCCTGGTGATGCTGCATCTGTACTGATCTGCACCTGCCGTACGATGCGTGCCTCCGGCTGGAAAGGATGGATGCTCTTGGGGCTTTGTGCATGTGGAGAGGCCTTCGTAGTTCGGTGCGCCCAGTTGCGAGTATACATTGGGATTCTCCTTGCTAGCCTCTGCACACATGTTGTCTCATCCTCTGATCCAGATGATTCCTGTTCAACGAGCTCCACCCCTACAAAGCACAAACATACCATACCCGCTGGATTGGGTATTCTGTTGTCACCTTCAGGAACAATACACCCCCACGCCTTCAGTTTCCCGGAGAACCAGATAGTTTCTACATGGTATTACCTCGCTCAACACGTGTGTGCTGTCTCTCTCGCGCGCTCGCTACAATATTTCGCCCGACCTCCTCCCAATAGGCCGCTCGTCCACCTCCCAACGAGCAGTGTGTCGGCGTCAACAACGACCACCATCACAACACCAGGCGCAGCAGCACCGGCGCGCTGCTCGCGGGGGCCGCAGCAGCAGAAGCAGCGTCGGGATCGTGCCTCGACGGCATTGGCATCGTCGCAGCCAAGCATGATGCAGGACGAGAGGCAGCAGCAGGACTTTGCGGCGAAGGTGGCGCCGAAGCCTGGCGACCCTAGTGAGGAGGAGGCTAAGAAGGCAGCAGCGGTCGTATTCGTACCGGAGGTACAGAGTGCATGTGTAGGCCGGTGTAGGGGGGGGGGGG